AGTTTTATCAAAATTATTTATACCATCCATTTTTATATCTAGTTTCTGTTTAGTTATTCAATTACTGAATATACTTATTTACATATAAAATGCATATGGTAATTTTCTTTTATTAAAAATGCTCATAATAATACATTTTATGATGTGAAAATGTATTATGTTTTGGCTTTAATGTTGTATCCATATCACAACACATGGCAATCTAGCAATGTTTATTTAAATTTATATATCTGAAATGTATATATATATATATATGTGTGTGTGTTGTGTATGTGTGTATGTGTGTGTGTGTGTGTGTGTGTGTGTCGGTCTGTCTTTCTGTGTGTGTGTGTGTGTGTGTGTGTCGGTCTGTCTTTCTGTGTGTGTGTGTATGTGCAAAATTTCATATAGAATTAAAATGTACTTATAAAAGGACAATATGAATAAATTTTGCTTTTGTCTTTATTCATATATATATATATATATATATATATATAAGTGAACATTGAAGTCAACATTTAAAGGCGACAGGCTATTTCATGCTAGACGAAATCGTCAGACCATGAGTGTTGTTTTTTTTCAGTTCTTTATATATACGGATCAGTGGTGCATTATGTGTAGTCTATTTTGGCGGTTATTTTGCCAGAAATCGTTTAATTTTTTTGTTTATTTGGGCAAATTTATTTTGCTTATTTTTATTTTTTATTTTTACTTTTATTTTTTTATTTCTTATCTTATATATTTATTTATATTTTAATCGGTGTTTTATTAACGTAGTAAAAAATTGCTTATGTCGCTTCTTTAATAGTTTTGTTTTGGTTTGGGAATATAATTAAAGCTATTTATTCAATTTTGGGGTTGATTGCTGTAGTTTATTCTAACTAATATTTTGGCGGGAGCAGTTGTTACTTCTTTTTTTTTTCTAACCGTTATTTTATCGGGATCGGTTTGTTAGTTTGTTTATTTATTTATTTATTTTGATTAATTTAGATTTATTTTACTTGTTTTTTATTATTTATTTATTATACTATATATTTTTATCTATTCTTTTAGGTTTTCGATTTTTAAGTAATGCAGTATTTTTTATCGTTATATAACAGTTATAGCTATGTTTTTCGTCATGACGATTGCGTCTAACGTGAAACAGCCTGTCGCCTCTAAGTGTTGAATTCAATGTTCACTTTTATATTTACACACGCTCTATCTCTGATATTGAGAACTTTATCACATAAATATAGCACACATTAAGAGATATTTTTTCATATATATATATATATATATATATATATATATATATATATATATATATATATATATATATATATATGTATAGTAATTTCTTCTTTTATTATTACATTTTCAAATCTTTTATTTTTCATAACAACAATAGACATTTCACAAATATATTTGATGATAACTTTTTTACTTTTATTAATTTTATAATATGCGATTATTAAAGATGACAATTACATTACAATATATTATTTTGGCAGCATTTTTTCATTGATGCATATTTCATTAAATAATTTTTTCATTTCATTAAATAATATAGACAAGTATTAATGATAATGCCATTAAGCTTATCAGACGATATGAAAAGAATTTACATACAATAAATAGACAAAACTTGTCTCTATTGTTTAATGAAAGATGTCTCAATGAAAAAATGTTTTTGTCATCTTTGATAATGGCTTATGTAAGCCGGAAGCTTAGATAGGATTAAAAAATATGTATCTAGACTGTGATTTTCTTTCTTCTTTTAATGATAAGCTTATCAGACGATATGAAAAGAATTTGAAAAATAAATAAAAGACAAAATTTGTCTATATTATTTAATGCAACATTCATCAATGAAAAAATGCTTCCTAAATAATAATAATAATAATAATATATATATATATATATGTATATATAATTGTGTGTATATATATATATATATATATATATATATATATATATATATATATATATATATATATATATATGTACGTCAATAGTATTAAATACACCGACAAATGGCAGATTTGTATATGTGCTTGATGGATTCTGACGAGAAAAATTTTTCTGGCACGACACAATTTTCTTGCTGTGTACGCAGCAATTGATTTGATATAGTCGGCCACCTCATGTCAGTGTAAATGTGAGGCCAATAAGTTGTAGAGTAATTTTCTCGTTGTATTTAGTATCAGTCATACTGATGACGGAGAGGAAAGTTTTCTGTGGAAAGCAGTTTTATTTTGGAGGAGTTAAAATTTACAAGTCATTTCTTTCCCCTGTTTACCACTTATTAGAGATCGTTTTCAAGAGCAGTTGCCCGTTTTGCCGGGTCTGTTGCATGTGTTACTAAGACATGTGTAAATTGTATCATCTGCATAAATAATTTGTTGGAAACTAATGAAATCGGGAAGATCATTAATGAAAAAAAAACAGTGTATGTCCAACGACACAACTCTCTGGTACCACGACGTTAGTATGAAATGAGATGGAAACATAACCGTTAAAAATGACCGTCAATATATTATTTGTTAAGAACGATTTCATTAAGCGAAATATTCGTCCCGTAACAAAACTGCTCTCTATTACACACCACAGTGAACCATCCTTGCTTCGCATTAGAGTGCCTGATGTTCAACTCCATGAGAGCACCTGTCTGCGACTGCTTGTTCTCACACTGTTCGCTGAACTGAGATGGAACAAATACATTGAACCAATAGCTTCATCAACCGCAAAGAAAAGTCCATCCTTCAAATGTATAAATATACCATTCGCTCTTGCATGGAATAATGCTGTTCGTCTTAAGGTCCTCGACAAAATCCAGAGACGGATATTCAATGTTGATGGCCCTGACCTGGCATCTCGTTTACAGTCGTTCTCTCACGGACGTGTCGTCGCCTCCCTCTGTCTTTTCTACAAATACTTTCACGGTAACTTCTCTGACGAGCTACTTTTGCTAGTTCCCAAACTAAATGAATTTAAACGTGCCACTAGGTTGGCATCTCAGTCCCACCCTTTCATTGTCGAAACGGTTAAATGTAGTTGTCTTTTCTACTCTAATAGCTTCATGTCTTGCTCTTCCCGTCTGTAGAACTCCTTTCCTCTTATTTGCTTCCCTGATAGCAATAATCTCCAACTATTCAAATGCCATTTGGCATTTCCAAATGTCTTGATCTATTTCCTGTCCTTCTCTTCACTCTTTCCTCTATCACGCCTCTTTACTCTTGCTCCCACTCTCTGTAACTCCTTGCGTGCTAGTGGTACTTCCGCCTTGCTTGGGGTGAAAAGCTTAAAAAAAGTAACACCGTAATCTTTGAGCTGGTGTTTAAGGCCAACATGCAAAATCATGTTGAACACCTTCGAAATACTTAAAGCCACAGGCCAAGATTCCCCATTCTTATCTAAGACTGGATAGACACGGTCAGTGATGGCCGTTAACAGATCGGTGGTAGACCTAGCGGAACGGAAGCCATATTGTTTGCCAAAAGGAAGTGGTATGATACTTGGCCAATTCGGCATTAATTAGAGTACTTTGCCGAAATGGGGAGATAATTTTAGGGGTCAGAAAGTTAACTATAATTCTTAAAGCCAGGAACCCCAGAGGAGGCCTACCTGTCACATCTGATGGACTTGTAGGGGTATGATTTAGAAATGATGTCAGAAACTAGTGACAGGGTTATGTACATATCATTTAGTAAAGCCTCCGTTCTAGAGGGAATGTCTGACAGGAGTACTACAGTTTCAGGAGTAGAGTTGGAACGTAACTTCCGAGCAAATCACTTCACATTATCTGTAGTAGATGTCAATACTTCAGATTGATGGAAGAGAAGAGAGAGTGTACTTTCCATTGTTCAGCACACTCTTGCACAGCCGCCTGTAATCTCTATAAACTTGTCAGTGTCTATAAAGTGTATCATTCTATTCGTCAACAGTGACAGCGCTTCTTATTTGTAAGTTTGACACAGTAGAAATGTTAATAAAATCTACGGTCGATGTAGAATATCACAGAACCCATATTAATATGTAAAGTAAAATTAGATTTTATTTAGATATATGGAATATTGTGTTAATCAAATATAACTTTCTATGGCCTCTATCTTTTGGGATTGATTTATAAATGAAAATCTATATTCCACTTCGACGTGAGATCCACAAAACAATTTATTGTCAATATTTAATAAGCTCAAACTTACACGGCATTATATTATGCAAATATAAGTATAACATGACAATGTTGCACATGTCGCATGGTTAGGGCAAATTCTATTGACAATAGCTTGGTTTGCCTCAGAAAATCTGACATAGCATAGCTGTATAAATGCAAAATGTATAATAAAACATTATGTAACAATTAGCATATATATATATATATATATATATATATATATATATATATATATATCGAAATTCGACGTATGAGGGTCAAGCAGATCAGTTCCCAGGAAACCGACAGCCCGACAACAACACATGAGATTTGATTATAGTGGAGAAGGTTTCGTGCAGGACCATCCACACTTTTTGAAGGGACGAATACAGAGACCTGGTGTACTACGTGCTACAAGGTCTCCGCAGTTTTTGAATTCACAGTTTTCCTTCTCCTAGACCAGTTGCCATCTATATATATTGTTACGAATGCAGATAGCCCAAACACGCATATATTAAGGTTAATCTCCGCTTGACAAAAGAAGAGGTCACGTGGGAGTCTCGAGTCATTTTGGGGAAGCAGGTCACGAGGTTGACTGACCCACCGACGTAAGGTCGTGAAGCAGCAGGAACTGGAATTCGCGCCAAAATGCAGGACACGTGGGAATTAGAAAATTACTTGGAAGTCAGTTGCTGTCTTGTCTTTGAAGGAGCAAGACTCGAAATCGAAGCGCTGATAACTTATGAACGGAAAGATGAGACTCATTTTGGTAATAATGAAACTTATCCGATTCATCATAAGCAACTCCGGATAAGAAATATAAGGATGTATATTTCTGTTCGTCAACTCCAGATTGAAGAAGATAAATCGATTAATTTTTCACAGAAGACGCAAGGAAAATACAGCCTGTGTTTGACGAAAGAAAAGAGAAATCAAGAGAGAAGAAGAAAGTATATATCTCTGTTGCAGCCAGACCGTGTTTGAAGCTGAACTGTGTAAAGAAGAAGAAAGAAAGAAAAGAGGAAACGTGAGAGAGAAAAGAAAGGACAATGAGTAAAAGAGAGAACTGAATATAAAGATAAGTAACTATATATTTTGGACCCATGTTAGAAAGATACACATGTATCAATAAATTTTATGTTCTCACAAACACCTTTCCACATGTCAAAATAGTAATATATAAATCCTATCCCATCTCTTTTTTTTTTGGTGGGGGGTATGCTTTGATTTCTGCATTCGTAATTATTCATACTTATTTTTTTATCCATTCGGGTTCAGTCGAATCCATTTAGATTTAGGCATATTTTGGTATCCCAACATAAGTCTAGGAAGTTTTGGTCGTCGGATGCTTTACTCATGCTTATATTTTTCTTTTATTGTAATATCTTGTGTATATGTCTATATTAAAATTCTTATACCAAAATTTATTACTCCTCATCGTTTATCCTTGAATTGTGGATCGGTATATGTGTTGAAACCGAAGCGAACCTGGGACAAGACTAATATTTGATTATCTCAATCGAACAGTGTTCTTTAAAATATTTTGTTTACTAATTGTCCATTTGTCATGATCTGGGAGAGATAGCCCGTATCTCTCCATAGATGTGATAACGTATATATCTCCTGGTCGGCGTATGATTGCTTTATGAATTATTCGTCGAGTAGGGTATTAAATCGACTTATGAATTAAATCGACTCCCCATAAAAAATTATTACCTGTAGAACAACATTTTCGCCTGGAAAAACAAGATTTCAAAACCCATGCCAAATTCACTATAATAGAAAAGATCAAAGCAGATAACATTAGAAAGATTTTAGAGTCCCATGAAAATAAGTGGATACAACGTCTAAAAACACAATATCCAGCCGGGCTAAATCATAAATTTAACAAATATATAGATAGTCAACAAATCAAAACCTACCTACACTTCTCACCCACACAAGACAGACATAACTTACGGAGGTGTGGAGGTCTCACACTTATACACACACCCACACGAATATACACACTTACACACATCATACTCACTCCATTTTACTAAGGAGCCAAATGATAACACACACCTACAGCAATACACACGCTTACACATATCATACTCACTCACCCCTAAGAACCAAGTAACACACACACAAACACTAAACAGAGACACATCCCCTCACCAGGTTTAATAAAACTGTCAAACTGAGCAGAGAATTTAGAATAATATGTATCTATCCAGCTCGTATTTCAGATAACAACTTAAAAGAGACTGTTTGACCAACACAAGGAATGTTAAAAGATTCATGTTAAAAAAAGATAAGAAAATAAAAATAAAAAAACAAATGCAAACTACAGACAAAAAAAGTTCATTTTCTCCATCAAGATATTCATTTCTGAAGTTTACTGCTACCAGCAAGCAGAAATATTTCTCCTCCCGATGATGGCCATTTCGGTCGAAAACTAGTCGAGGAATCTAAATGGAATAATAATAAAAAAAACGAAAGAATATTAATCTACAACCCAGTGTGTCCAAAGATTTTAATTTGTTATTTTCTTATTGTTCAATATATATATATATATATATATATATATATATATATATATATATATAGGAGGCACGGTGGAAGTAATTGATATATATATATATATATATATATAATTATTTATTTAAAAATATGATTAAAGTACTAAGCTCTGTTCCATATGGAACAGAGCTTAGTACTTTAATTCAATTTAATTCAAATAATTATATTGAAGTTTTCGGCTCTGGTTTTGAAACATGAGAATTCTTATGTAGCGTGTTGGAATCATATTTTTAAATAAATAATTATATTTATGCTCTACTTTTGTATCGAGCACTATTTTTAAAAAATAACAAAAAAAAATACTAAAGAACTTTGGATTATTTACCCTACGAGTTCTTTCCTATTTTCTATATATTTTCACACACACACACACACACACACACACACACATACACATATATATATATATATATATATATATATATATATATATATAATATAAGATAATCCTAAGGAACTAGGCAAACCTAACTAGGTTTCACCTAAACGGATTTTCAGGGAAGCTGGCTGAAAAAGGAAATTATGGAACAGTATTTATCGCTAAAACCAAAAATAACCATGACCACGTGACAAAAAAATAATGAAAGACAAACAACAGCATGTACTTTATTGAACAACCAACAAAACAACAACAAAAACCTATTCTAATAACCAACTTTTCCTGTGCCTACACCGACTAAGAATTTTCGATTTTTTGTTCAATAAATGTTTAGGTTCCTTGTAGGTTGAACTATATATATATATATATATATATATATATATATATATATATATATATGAGATGTATTTCGGTAGCAGTCATTCTGTCAAAGATATTTACGCAAAAGTTATATATATATATATATATATATATAAGTTGTTACATACGGACGAGGAAGTACCCAGGATCAGGACAAATACGGTTATAACTATCTTTGCTCTTCACCTGATGAGATGCTTACGCATCGAAACAAATATGCATCTTTGTCGTGACTGCGTGTTTATCCATATATAATAATTTATAAGAAATAACTATTGGTCTACTCTTGGTATTGAGCCCTCTATTAAATTAAGGTTATGAACGTTGGAATTTATATTCTTTCTGTTCTCATTACATTTGATATATATATATATATATATATATATATATATATATATATATATATATATATATATATATATTCGTACAGGTTTCGTTAAACAATGTAGACATGCTATGAATTTTTATTTTTCTTTAATCCTTTCGAGGCCACGAATCAATTTTTTGGTATCCGTAAAAAATTGATTAAGAAAAATACCAAAATTTTCTTTCAAATATTTTTTATTTTCCCGAAACTTAATAATCTATGCAAATTCAAATTCTTCCACGAAAATGATTTTCTATACGGAATTAAAAATATTTAACAAACCCTCATTAATAATGACTGTCTTACTTATATTGTTGATGAACAAATTAGACAAGCTATTATGAATATTAACATATATGAACGGATTTATAAGTGTTGTGTATTCCGAGATGAATTCGGTCTCTAAGGAATGATAAACGCAAATAATTAAATATAAGAAATAAAATGTATTTACACAATCATACAAAGAGTAATACTGTTAGTAAATCCGGTTAGTAGCAAATACAGATAGATATATACTGTCTCGAAGCAGGACTTCCTTAGAGTGTACGTGCTTGTAACTGACTTCTACAAGAGGTTACCTCACACTATCTCTGTTCGTATATTCTCTCACTCTCCGTATATCCTCTCTCTATCCGACTAGTATTTAGCTACCCCCCCCCACGAGGGTATCATGTGGCACAAGGCCAGTTTAACGTGGGATCTCCGTACCCGTGGGCTCGGCCAAAAATATGCCCATTTAACCCGTATAAACGGGTTCAGGGTCGGTTTACCTCCCCGAAAGAGAATCCACCCTTCGGCGTAGCCTCCTTCGGGTTCCTCCCCGCCCGAAGGCAGCAAATTCAACCGATCAGCCAGTCGTCCGACATCGACTGAGAGTCTCTTTATCCGACTAAGATATTTAGTCACCCCCCCCACGAGGGAGTCATGCGGCACAAGGCCTTTTTAGCGTGGGCATTCCCGAGCCATTAGGTTCAGCCAAAAAATAACCCATTTGAACCCGTATAAACGGGTTCAGGGCCGGTTTTACCTCCCCGAAGGAGACTCCGCCCTTCGGCGTAGCCTTCTTCGGGTTCCTCCCCGCCCGAAGGCAGCAAGTTCAACCGATCAGCCAGTCGTCCGACATCGACTGACGTCTCTTTATCCGACTACCCTCAATGACTGTAACTCTGGGTATTTAACGGCAGTAGTCCAAGTGCACTTGGTAGAGTCCACTTATATAGAAAAAGGGTGGACGGCATAACAATAAGAATATACATTGCGAAGTATGATGTAAGTTAGTCTTCTCTTGTAAAAGAGAAGTTGTATGTACATCAGGCAGCGGCAGTAGCAGAAAATCGCAAGTTATTGATAGATTTCGTAGAACATGCTGGTCATAGCATTGAAACACGAAAACACAACCTTATTGTCATAGATAAGGTGAATAGCGTGTATCCAATTATTGACATTGCTCTTCCACATCTTGTAAGAACTGACGTCAAAGAAACTGACAAAAAATGCCAAGAACTAGCTAGGTAGCCGAAGAAGATATAAAACATAAATTAATGGAGAGCTAATTGCTGTAGCAATGGAAGCTCTTGGAACATCACCTAAAAAAATGAAAGAAGTTCTAAGGGTAAAATAGAATTCAGAAAAAAACAGAAGACGTCCAGAAAACTGCCATCTTTTACTCTGTGAGGATTCTTTTGAGTTTGGAGATGTCTTGTCGATACCATGCTTCAAGAACAGAAATTCTCATTGTTACGTCAATATGAGATTCTAACGTAATCTACGTTTTTAATCAATATTAATGAAGTCAATAACATTGACAATACAAAAAATTAATGTCTGCCAAAAGAGTCAATTTTCGATATTAAAAAATAAAGCATATTTATTAGGCATCGCTCTAAAATATTGCGAAAATTACAGTGTAAAGAAAGGTGAATTATGGGAAACAGTATGAGATTAATCATCAAGCTCATGCTGATTTATTTTAAAACATTTTCTTTATTTCTTAACGAACTTTTCCTGTTTCCTCATACATTCCTTAGCTTTTGGAAAGCATCTTTCGCTATTCCAATCCGCTTATGGATTTTGGTGTCTTTGAAGTGTTCCCAACCCCATATGTGTACTTTTTGAAAAATGTTACATACACACGCATGTATAACATAGCTATCAACTGCCTATGCGCAGAAGGAAAACTTTTTAGAATCCAGTGTGGGTTGATGCCATGTTATAAGCATAGATTATTGGACTTTTTATATCAAGTTGCTTAGAGAAAGGTGTTTACAATGTGTTGATTTTCTATCGCTTCTTCTTTTTCTTTTTTTTTCTTCTGTAAAGCTGATATAGGAATTACTTTCCCCAGAGCGGCAACTTCTTAAAAGCTCAAATTAAACTTCCAGCTTTAAAAGCAGGATTTCCCTTTACATTTGCAAATTGCGGGTGTCGGATAGAAAATATCGAATCTTTATGACGTATCCCTTCATTTCTTTTCCCGTTTCGAGGCGTGGAAATGCGACCAGGCCATAAGAGACGTGTGACGATGATGAGCGTATCTAGTTTTAGAGGAGTGTTTATTGATTTTTCACTAACAAATAAGACTTTTTCCACTTCATTTTTTTAAACGTGTATTTGAACAATGTCCGTATATGAGTCTATCGATTTTAATATTATTTCTGATACGCATTCTGTTTTCATTTTATGTTTCATGTACTTTCAGGACTAAGGCGATCATGGCTCTCCACTTCACCCAATCTCTTGTAGATCTCTATGTTTCGTCCGTCTGCCACCTCCCTCAGACCACTTTCTGTCATCCACTGGCTTCAGGTATGTCATGCGTGGCTTTCCTTTGTCTCTCTTTCCCTCTATTCGACCTGTGTGTATCTGATTCTCCAGGTCCTCCTTTCTCATTACGTGTCCCCGAAAATTCAGCTGCCTCTTCCTGATGTTAAATATGTCTCTTCCTTGTTTACAACCTCTCTACGACCTCATCATTGCTCACAGGCTCGGTTAATGATATCCTCAGCATCTTTTTGTAGAACCAAATCTCCGTCGGCTCGAGTCTCTTTGAGAAGACCGTCAAACATTCGCTGCCGTAAAGGAGGACAGATGTCACCTAACAGCTCAGTAGTCATTCCTCTGTTACCAAAGAAATCTTCCTGTCTCGCAATACTCTGCCTAGCTTTTGGAATGCGTCTTTGGCCATCCCAATACGTCTTCGGATCTCAGCGTTGCACTTACCGTCCTCCGTTAAAACATTTCCCAGATATTTAAATTTCCGCGCCTGATGGATGTTTGTGTCTCCGACTTGTTAATCGCATTTCGGGCTCATTCTTTTACTGATGAGCATGCATTCTGTCTTCATTTAATTTATCCTTATTCCTTTCTTCTCGCTCTCCTTCGCTACCTTCTGTAAGAGCGTTTCTTTTCTGTGTCTGGTATCATTACTGTGTCATCTGTGTATCTTATAAGTTATATGTAAAGCATTTACATCTATTTACATCGTTCGGACACCTATCCTCATCTTTATTGCCACATTCACGACGTTTCGGTTGTTGTAATGTTCCGACCTTCTTCAGGAGATATACGTTGAATTTCGAACCGAGCCCTTTATTTAGCCCTTTATTTATTTACTGATGACCCTGCATTCCGTCTTTAAATTTATCCTTATTCCTTTCTAGCTCTCCTTCTGTAGGAGGTTTTGGAATTTCTTTTCCGTGTCTGCTAACGCATTCGATCACTTGTAATTAGCCTAGAACCGGCTGTGCGGCCAGAATGTATGCAACTTGCTAACAATAGCGATTTTTCTCTACTAATTATTTACCCACTGGAGGCAGGATGGAATAATTAGTGGCTTGGATTGAGGAATAGGAGAGCCGTGTTCGAATTATAGTCGTGTTCATGACATTCACTTACGTGAAAAGTATGAATCCATCGATTTCTCCCCACCTATGGGTAAAATAGCAGGGTAGACCAGGTCTTATAGACTTGGTTGCCAACCAGTTTAGAAAAAAAAACCACTGCATTCAAACCATCTTGTAGGCTCTGCCTGTTTAGGCAAAGGCTAGAAGATGGTAACTGCAGAAACGAATCCCCGCAGTATGTCATCTCAAAGAAAGAAACTGGCTCCCGGTCTATTTTTAGAGGCAACAGAAAATGATGGACTACTCGGGCTTAGTCCAATAGATCGAAAAAAAAAAAAAAAAAAAAAAAAGACTGGTCCACGGCACCATACCGTGGTCCACTCTGCTATCGTCGTCCTGGGTATGACGATAAACTATAACCGGCAGCAAGACCTCTGATAGGGAGACTGGAAGTTTTCAGGAACATAAAACTACTTTTTAAATGCTGTTGTTCCCAGGTCCGGATTAGGGATGGTAGCACCTGTTACGGTCCAAGCTATGGGCAAATAGTGAACCCCTAAACAAAAATCAACAATACATTTTTTATAATAAAATGGGCAAAAATACATTTTAATAATATGACAATCAAGGCAACACTCAAAAATATAAAAAATACATTTTCATAGTAAAATTACCAGAAATACGTTTTATTATCTACAAAGTATATATCGAACAAAAAACGTGACTTTACTCAGAAAGTATAAAATAATTATGTACAAAATATCTGTAATTAAAGCCATAAAACTGCGTACAAGATATTTAGATTTCGGCATTAAATAACCCATAGAGGTGTTGATATACCGTACCTTTTTATAGTAAAATTACCAACAGTACATTTTTTGATCTACAAACTATGTATCTAAAAAAAAATACCTTTACTCTAAAAATACATACAAAATATCTGTAGTTGAAGCCATAAAATTGCGTACAAAATATTTAGATTTCGGCGTTAAATAACCCATAGAGGTGTTGATATGCCGCCACACACAATCAGCCAACTAAACAAGCAACATGAAAAAACTCTTACATGGCATTCATCGATATAATGTCCTGCAAGTTTTATTTTTTTAAATCAAACTGTATGCCAAAATATAATTTCGACTAAACAACAGCATAAAACAGAGGCACATATCACCCCCTCTAGTAATTACGTCTGCACAAACATGTATATGCAGAAAAACTGAGTATCATCTACCATGTACTCAACTGTGAAAGCAGAATAACACTTAAGCTTTATTACTTCAAAGCTCCTAACAAAATTATGGCCCGGCATTAAGTGACCATATGGAGTTGATATGCCGTTAAACAAGTAAATTAATATCTGATTTCGAATCATTCACCCATGAGTGTCTTAGCCACGACACTTAAGACGACAATTACCTCAATACAAGGCCCTTGCATTCAAGATAAATATTTGCTGATTGTAGTTTTTGGTCCTAAAAGGAGGAAGTAAACTAGAGGATATGTACGAAATTACGATTTTTAATCCAATATTTAATGGGTATAAGTTTTTAGTGATCTGTGTAGCATCTCCTTGGGATTTTTTTTACAAGGGCAGCGCTTCTTACAGCGAAAAAGGTTGACGTTTATATCGCTAATGTCCTAACAGGAAACCAGATTATTACAACATTCAGTCAGAGAATGCTGTATTCATGTTACGTTTTGGTTTATACGTTTTTTATTTTTATTTTCTTTATGAGAACGAATATAGATTTTTCCCTGTTAAAAAGAAATACGTTTTCTTATTCTTTCTTTAGATTTACCAATGTTTAATTAAATATAGGGGCAAATAAACCTTTGCTTTTTTTAAGAAAATGTTTTGAATAAATGATAATAAAGAAAATTTTTCCGCGGCATAAATAAAATTAACCAACAAATCCAATTAAGAAAGAAATTAACCAAAATTAGCCAGAAATACCAACACCTTCATAAAGCCACTCCCAGAATTAGTATGGGATGAACTCGACAGAAGAGCGAAAAAGAATGAAAAAACAGCTCTCAGAGTCATTGAAAAAAAATAATAGAATCAGCAATTAGCAAAATTATACTTTGCAAAACATTTGCAAGGAAAGGCAAAAGTGTGTGCTGCAGTAATCGAGGCTAAAGCAATATATTTTGCTGATAGCAAATTTAATCATAAAATGTTTTTTGTCATAATAAAATTTCTAATAAAAATTTTAAAAAATCATGTCTTACTTTTTTTAAATATGAATATAATTTTCTCTTATTTAAATACTAAAAACTAATTTGGGGACAGTTTAAAACCTTGAACTTTTTAACTGTAGTGTATATATTTATATATATATATATATATATATATATATATATATATATATATATATATATTTTTTATTATTCTTTATGTTAAAAAATTTCGATGAGTATTAGTAAATAACTGGTGAGTAGAGAATTTATGAGATTTTTTTTGATGTAATATCTTAAAATGAAGAATATTGCTCTATTTTTGTATTGAGCCCTGTATGAAATTGAATGTTACAAACGTAGGAATTGGATTCTATTCATTCTTATTTTCCATGGATATATATATATATATATATATATATATATATATATATAGACAAAAAAGGAAAACAACCTACGCGTTTCGTCCTTTGATGAACTGTAACTGGACAAGGGTAAGCATTTTATTTTTTCAACAAAGTCAAGGTAAATTATGTGACGTAATTTGAGGTGCCTTAAAGATAAGTGATAAAACATCGTTGTTGTTGCTGATTTCTCTTGTATAATGCAATTATTATTCATATTTATTTAGTTTACTTAATTTATGCATTATATGTTTTAAATAAGAGAAAGTTTTGAATTTTAACGTTTGCGTTAATTTTTTTTTTTTTATAGTCACGTGTATTGGCTTGGGAAAGATTATTTCTTTCAGAATATGCGATACTTGAAAACATCCCGGACAGACATTTATACATTGGGAAATATCGATAGCTGCGCTCTCAAGAATTTTCCGTCTGAGTTACTTTCTCTTTTAATAAGTGCAGCAATGTTTAGATCGAATAATTACAGCTACGCCTAAAATTATTATAGATATGATTAGAATCCATAACAATATTAATTCTGTATGCAGGTACAGACAAACCTCTCATCAACGGACTAATAGGTGAGATGGGTGATCTGTTAATGTCAATTGCCTTCAGATAGGAAAGGATTGTTTTTTGAGTTATAAAACCACTATAGTAACTACCAGTAGTTATGATCATAATGTAAATAATATAAACATGTATACATAGCACTAGCAGTATTGCCCGGCGTTGCCCGGGCTTGATTCAAAAATCGTACGATTCATACAGCAGTCGCTATCACTTGACTTAAAATATTTTTGCCCTTCCTTGCCTTCAAAGGAGTACCTTTTGCCGTGCTGATGTTGCTACATGCCTTACTTCTTTCCTATCTCTCACTGCGAATTTTTTCTAAGCTCTATACTAAACATTAAATCTGTTACGAAAAAAAGAACTAAACAAAATGAACACAAAACGATCAGCTTTAAAAAAGGACTCGTAACTGGAAAACCCGAATGAAAAAAGAATGTTAACAACAAATACTTTTTCACACCCAACCCAGTTCTGCGGAATCAGAATCAACGTTGAGTTTAAGCAAGCGAATCAGCCAATTGGAGTAAAGTGCCATGCAGATTTAAATTTTTCCCACTTAACATTCGTGTCAGTCAGCTGTTGACTCTCACGTTGGCCAATAGAATCTTCCTGCCTATTCGTGACAGCCAGCTATAGGCTCTCACTCTGGCCAGTAGAAAATGGCCGCAAACTACATGAAAACTGCCGTAGAAGCATGAAAAAATCGATTATTTCCACTATCGATGGGAGTTGGGAAATGTAAAGTCGATCTTGGCCTTCCCGCTCACTTGGAGCATGCGCATGTAAATTTTGGTGCAAATCCATTGAAAATTGCGGCCGTGAATTCGTTACACACACACACACACACACACACACACACACACACACACACACACACACACACACATACACACACATCCTGCTTTTATAGATAGATATAAATAAATATATACTTAATATAGGTATATTAATCAAAATAACAAAAATAATAGATTTCTCACAGATACATTCTTACGCACGCGTCTAATGTATCGTACTTTATATACTGTACACCCTCCTTTGTTTAAAACTGGAAGGCCAGCCACCGCCACCAAGCGGTCACTTTGAGAACTAACACGAATTGTTCCACTTAGCCCGCAAATTTTTAAATACATCGCAGACGATTTGGAAGTTTTTTTTTTCCTGCATAACTTTTTTTATTTGTCCGTTGCATCCGAAGTCCGTTGATGGGGGGGGAACGTAGATGAGAGGTTTGTCTCTATAATTGAAATAAACTGAGACAACGTCTACTCAAAATACATTGATGGAACTTGCTGAATTTTGTAAAAATATATATATATATATATTTGAACACAAAACGGATCTTATAGATAAAAATTAAATATTTTTACTACTCACACATAGAAATATGTTCACCCACAATTTCGATCAAAAAGATGTAACATTAAAAGAGAAAATAACTTGACACTGTTGCGATCAAATTTATGTGTGCATGTGTTTGTGTAAAATTCAGATGTAAATAGACATATCAATAAAGACAATATTTCTAGCAGAGATCTCAAGTAAAAAATATTTTTTTTATACCAACGCGTTTCGTTCCGTGGGGGACTTTATCAAGGCATGTGCAAATATTGTAGTTCGTAATGTTTGTTTTATAAAGAAGAGACGTAAAGAAATAACAATAACGTTAAGTTTCCAAATTTTAAATTAGAGAAAACTAAAATATTCGAGAAGTTTGCTTTTGGTCTTTATTGATATTGTCATTTTATTTTCAGCTATATCTGAATTTTTACAGACAAACACACTCATATATATATATATATATCGCAAATAATTCAAATAATATACAAAAACCTCCAGTAAAAAATTTGTTCATCACCATATTTTATAAGAACGCACAACCTTTAAAAATTTAAAATCAAACTCAGCGTTGCTTCTGCGCGCTCCAAAAAACAATAACTCATTTTCAATAGCATTTCGGATACAACAATACATATATTTTCGTTGTCCTCTTATTACTAAGAGAAAAAACAAGAACAACATCTATTCTATACCTGAAGATGTCTGTAGGAACAGACGAAAGCTTGTAGTAAAAATAAGAACTAATACGGCAGAAATTTATATAAACAAGGATCATTTCATTCATAACGGATACGGAGGTTTTGTATATTATTTGAATTGTTTTGCGATGATGGATGTCTCGCCATTTAAATCATTAACCTTTGCATTAGTTTTTGTGTGAATAATTCATGTATTTGTAAATTGATTGCACGTTTATCGTAATATATATATATATATATATATATATATATATATATATATATATATATATATACCAATAAACGGTAATAAATATTAGGAATAAATAAATTGTTAGTGAAATTTCATGCATTATTGGGGTGAAATTAGTTATTATTATTGAATATATGATTAAAAAGCCTCTAGGAAGAGTAAGTCCTTCTGGTTCGAAATGAGTTAATAAAATGGTTTAGTAAAAGACACGCAGTCTTCAATTTTTATGTGATTCTTGGAAATCCTGAGTGTTGGCAAAAATATTGGACATATATTTATAATACTAAAACTCTGTGATCTTTGTTTGCTTGCTTGCTAGTGTGTTTGCCACCGTGAATACGAAGTCATATATAGAGAGTAGGGGAAAGAAATATGTAAATTTATTATCATGTAGGAGTTGGGGGAGAAGGAAATGGCGTGAATTGACAGTAAGACAAAAAGTAAAAAAAAAATCTCTCCTTCCACTCCGGTCTCTTTCCACCTCTCACTCTTCCCAAGTCACACTTTCCAACTCTCTTTCTGTGCACCTCTCCATTTCCACCTCTCTCTGTCTCTTTCCTCTTCCCTCTTCCCACATCTCTCCTTTGTCACTGCTCTCTCTTTCCACATCCCTCTCCATCTCTCTCTCTTTCCATCGCACTCTCTTTCCATCTCTCTCTTTCCTCCGCTCTCTCATTCCCTTCCATCTCTTCCTCTCTTTTCACCGCTCTCTCTTACCATCGCTCTCTTTCCACCTTCCTGTGATTGCTTGCATGTTTATTTATATTTCAGCTTTCTTTAAACAAACAATATCTTAAATATTTTAAAAAATGTTTTTGGCCATATTTAGGATATTTTTAAGTGAATATAATTTAGAAATACGATTTGTTTATACAGTATTTTTATTTCAAATCTCTTCAAAGAGACAATTTCTTTAATGTTGAATGCAATTTCAGTGTTTTATAATCTGGAACTTCAGTTACAAGTAGCATAATATTAAAAGTCAGTGAATCGGGCGTACGTCAGCCGTCGGGCGCATAATGGTTTAAGATTCTTTCCCCATCTCTCTTTCCACCTCTGTCTTTTCAGATTTATTTTTATGCCTCTCTGTCTTTCCTCCTCTTTTCTTCTCACCTCTCTCTTTATACCTCTCTCCTTATATCTCTCTGTCCTTTCACCTCTCTCTTTCCCCCTCTGTCTTTTCACTTCTTTCTTTCCATATCACTCTTTCCTCCTCTCACTTTATACCTCTCTGTATTCCCCCTCTTTCTTTCCACATCTCTCTTCTCAGCTCTCCCTTTCTACCTATCTCTTTTCACCTTTCTCTTTCCACATCTCTGTCTTTCTACCTGTCTCTTTCCTCCTCTGTCTTTTTACTTCTCTCTTTCCACATCACTCTTTCCCCCTTTCACTTTATACCCCTCTTTCTTACCACATCTCTCTTCTCATCTCTCTCTTTCTACCTCTCTCTTTCCACCTTTCTTTTTCCATCTCTCTGTCTGTCCACCTCTCTCTTTCCACCTCTGTCTTTTCACTTCTCTCTTTCCACATCTCTCTTTCTACCTTTCCTTTTACACCTCTCTGTCTTTCCCCATCTTTCATTCCGCATCTCTCTTCTCACCTCTTTCTTTCCACATCTCTTTTTCCACCTTTCTCTTTATACCTCTCTGTGTCCCTCCCTCTTTCTTACCACATCTCTCTTCCTACCTCTCTCTTTCTACCTTTCTTTTTCCACCTCTCTGTCTTTCCACCTCAGTTTTTTCACTTCTCTCTTTCCACATCTCTCTTTCTACCTTTCTCTTTCCAACTCTCTGTCTATCCCCCCTCTTCCATTCTGCATCTCTCTTCTCATCTCTCTCTCTTTCTACCTCTCTCTTTCCACCTTTCTGTCTTTCCATCTTTCTCTTCCACCTCTCTCTTTTTCCACCCCTCCCTCTTTCCACCTCTCTATGATTGCGTGCATTCTTATTTATATTTCACTTTCCTTTCAAAAAACATTATTTTGAATATTTAAAAAAAATATATTTTTGGCATATTTAGAATATTTTAAGTGAGTATGATTTTAAAATATTTTAAGTGAGTAAAATTTAAAAATGCGTGTTTTTAAATACAGTAAGTATTTTTATTTGAACTTTCTTCAAACACACAATTTTTTTAATGTTGAAATCAACTTAAATGTTTTGAAGACTAAATTGTCAGTGATCCAAAGGGTCATGTGTAGTTATAGTTTAAAATTTGCTATATTGATCTGAAGATCGTATTGAAGAGTGGAACTGACAGTCAAGATACGTGTTGATCTCTATGTCCACACTGTTCATCCATCCGTACATAATTAATAAATGATAAGAATTATATAGGTTTACACCTCTTCCAGTAACTTATTGTCTAGATAACTCACAAAATGCAACAGGTTATTTGTTTATAAAGTACTCACTAGTCAAAACTGAGGCTTTAATATTAAATAGTCCAACAATTAGTCTTTCGACACTGAATTTCGCAAACAGATTCATTCGTCAGAAATAAGATAAATAAATTTATCTTAACTCAGACGAACGAATCTCGAAATGTCTGTGAAACACCGATTAGCCAGAGTTCTTTTCATTTATCTATTCACTACATACAAAAGAGGGGGCAACGGAATCTAAAAACGATATCACATGTACCATGTGATATCTTTCTTAGCTGATGCTGCTTAGAAGCAAGAATATTCATCTAATAAAGAATATTGACTTTCCACATTACCTTAAACAAAACTTTAGGAAGGAAATCCTCATTAATACCGGAAAGAAAAATAACATTATTCGGACTATTCTCCTCATCTTTGTCGCCATATTTATTACAATCTTTCGGCCCTCCAGTATCTGTCTATATTTCTGAGATGAAATATTATGTACACTATTTACATTATTCGGAATATTCTCCTCATCTTTGTCGCCATATTTATTACAATCTTTCGGCCGTTGTACGCTCCGGCCTTCTTCAGGTGGTTTGAATGTCGAACTGAAACCTTTATTTCGCTCACATGCCATGTTTGATGGATGTCAGTTAACAGTTATCTCCTGTTAATTTCCCTCTGAAAGTTCTCCACTGCCTTAACTGGGTATTGAACTCAAACACTTTGGGTCCTGTCACTGGATCTAACCAACGCCTTTATCCACTGTGCCATGCGTCCTTGAGGAAAAATAACATTTAACAATCTCGCAACATTTAAGCTCCTGAAGAATCTGTTCTAATAGAAAGATTTCTTAATTTTCAACCAACAGTAACGCTACTGTTCGACCAATGAATGCCAAACGTTTCTTGAATGGAAGGAGCTGATCATGCTACTGGGTGTGGCGGAAATACCTCCCAGGATGTAAACTATCCCCTCTGATGGTGATCTTAGGCAAGCGGTAATGGTGTAATCATATAGCTAATGTGTCACCATTCGTTTTGCCATCATGGCGTGAACCGCTGCACACTGCCTTTGCTGTTCAAATATTCTTTTAAGAGTGGTGAATCTGTAATTTGCGACACAGATATATATGTATATATATATTTTTTAGCATTTCACCCCAAGCAAGGCTGGATAGGATTTGGAGCGATAGCAGAGAGGAGTTATAGAGGAAAGGATGGAGAGAAGGATAGTGGATACATCAAGGCAACTAGAGATGTCTATTGACATTTCATTTGAATATTTGAAGATTATAGCAATCAGGGAAACAGGAAAAGAGAAGTGAGTTCCACAGTCGAGATGTGTGAGATATGAAGCTATTGGAGTAGAAGAGACGGCTACATTTAACAGTTTCGACATTGAAAGTGTGAGAGCGAGATGCTAGCCTCGTAGGACGCTTGAATTCATGAAGCCTGGGAACCAGCGAAAGCAGCTCATCGGAGCAGTTACCATGAAAGTATTTGTAAAAAATACAGAGAGAGGCGACAGCACGTCTGTGAGAGAGCGACTGCAGACGATATGCCAGATTAGGGTCAATTACATTGCATATCCGTCTCTGGATCTTATCAAGAACCCCGAGGCAAGCAGAAGGGGCTCCAGACCATATATGGCAGCAATACTCCATGCAAGGGTGAATGGTTGATTTTTAGATTTGAAGCATCGATACCGGGGAGAAAAATTTCCTGACGCGGCACAGGGTGCCAACTTTCCTTGCGGTGGACGAAGTAATTGACTCAATGTATTTGTTCCATCTTAGGTGAGCAGGCAATGTGAGACCGAGCAGCCGCAAAGAGGTGCTCTCGAGAAGTTGAGCGTCAGACATTCTAAAGGGGGAGGGGCAGGGAAGAATCTTATATTGAAATGATGCTGTTCTGGATAGAAAATCGATATTGCTGTGGGTTGAAAATTTCAGGACCACAAGTTTAGTGCTTGAAAGGAACCAACCGGGTAAACCTCGAAGCATTTGAACTTCCGTGGGATGGAAAAATTTAGAAATCGTCTAAAACTGTATATGGCGAATGGAGGTCAGCATTTTGCAGGATATTCTTTTTAAAACGAAATGAAGAAAATCTGTAGCACTTTGTTTAACCCTAGAACACTAACCATGGGTATATGGTACCCAGCGCAATTTTTCCTATTTTTAATTACAGTTTTCAGTACCTGATTTTCTTACCTAAATAATAAGTACAAAGTTTGAAGTGCCTGCATGTCAAGTATTTAAAATAAAGATTTATATTTAATATTTTTTTGATATTTTCCAAATCGGCTATGATATACCCATGCTTGATAGTTACTGTTCTAGGGTTAGTTAAACAAAAGTGAAATAAATTTTTCATGGCCACTGGTTCTACGCTTAAAAAAGGCCACCTGGAATACCTCCAAGTGTTCAAACTTCCAGGTGTTGGAAAACTTTAGAAATCTTCTACAACATTCTATAGCGAAGAGAGGCAGCCATTTTGGAGGATGTTTTTTTTAAACGAAATGAATAAAAACTATAGTCTTTTATGTAAATAACAATTAATTTTGTATAGCAGTTATCTTGGTCTATTTGTCAGCCATTAAAATGTGTAAGGTATTTCTACCGCACGCTCCATTATCATGACCATGTGTGGGTTTGTGTATAAGTTTAGCTTTCTATACCCGAAAGTCAAATGAGAACTGGAATATTACTTTCTAACGATTATTTTGATGATGATCGATCTCAGTGAATTCTCGTCTTACATTTCTTACGCCCGTGTAAAAAGTTTTATTTAAGTTATTTTTTTTTCATTTGGCAAGAATTCATTGTTAAAATAGAAGGTTCCATACACGACTGGTGGCTATATTTCACTCAGCATCTAACGTTAAAAGAGAGAATAAGGAAACGTATCCATTTACACAATAGAAAAATCCATAATCCTTTATATAAGAAAGAAAAAATACGACGTACTTGTGGCATAGGATTTATTGTTGCGACGAATGAAATTGCAATGCAGGGTTCAAATGCCCGAGAAGTCGGTTGCATTCGCTTTTGCAGAAATATATTCTTTTTTTTTTAAATAATCATTTTACCCCCAAGTAAGGCAATAAAGCCGCTAAGACGTAAAGTGTTACGAAGTGTTAGAGAATATATGAAAAAATATACTATTCGGGAGAGAAGACAATAAAATAAAAACAATTAAGAAAACAGATGACGTTAACCTTGCATTTAAATTTTTGATGATGAGTCCCAAATATAGGACAAAATGGCCGTGCAATGCTTTCTGTTGAGGTTTCTTTTAGACTTGATGAATTACTTACTTATGACTATCCCGAATCCTCCTAATAATTTCTCTTATATATATATATATATATATATATATTGTTGTGGTAGGATCCACCTAATTTGCATAGTGGAGTACCGACCATATAAATATGGTTGGTACCGGGAAGTGAGGGGGGAATCAAGAGATTCAACCAGAGACTTTGCCCGACTGCAACTCAGTCAACACATTCTCCAGGAACGGTCTTACCAGGAATGTGCAAAAGACTATATGTAAATATTGTGTACACTTTCTTGTTCAATGCATTTTGTTCTAAGTACATTTTGTGTTGCATTATTATTCCATGCATTAGTCAAGTTTCAACATATATATATATATATATATATATATATATATATATATATATATATATATATAAAGTGAACATAGAAGTCAACACTTAGAGGCGACAGTCTGTTTCATGCTATATGCAATCGTCAGGCCACATATGCTGTTATTTTTTCTCGGCTATTTATATATACGGTTAGTGGTGCATTGTGGGTATTCTATTATGGCGGTTATTTTTTACCGGAAGTCGCTTTGTTTATTTATTTGGGTCAAATTATATTGCTCGTTTTTATTTTTTGTTTCTTATTTTATTTATTTATTTATTAACGTAGTAAAAATTTGTTTATATCACGTATTTAACAGTTTTGTTTTGGTTTGAGAATTTGATTAAAGCTATTTGTTCAATTTTGGGGTTGGTTGTTGTAGTTCATTCTAACTATTATTTTTTTGGCGGGAACAGTTTTTAATTTGGGATTGGTTTGAATTTAGGTCAATTTATTTGTATATTTTTTCTTTTCGGTTTTCGGTTTTTAAGCAACAAAGTATTTAGTTATTTTATTTTATTTTTTTTTTTTTTTAGTGTATTTGTTTGTTTTTTCCGTTTTTCATTTTTTAGGTTACGTAGTAAAAATTTATTTTCATGCCTGCATTTTGAGATGAGCTCGGATCTTTTATTTAATAATTTATTTTGGTCGGGGAAGGTAATGATAGCTATTTTTTCCTCCAAGCAAAGTTTGCAAGTTTTTGATTGGTTGTTGTAGGCTGATGACTTTTTCCTTATCTTCCAAGATATTTTTGGTGTGATGTGCGTTTTGTTTTTTATTTCTCAGATATACTTAGAAAGCATAGTACTGTTCGTATATTTACTATTTGTGAACGATGTTTTGTGTGTATAATTTCTTTGCTTCCAGGGTCCTTCAGTTACTCCTATGTATACTTTTTCTTCATTA